CAGATTAGTTGAGTTAGTATTCAATGGTACTATTATTGTACTATTGTTCGTTATCTGTTAGTGCCTCACAGAGCACAGGTACACCACGTCTTTCCAACAATATTGCCGTTAGTGAATTCTTCGAATGATTTCTAGATAAAATAAATTAAAAAAGGTAAACCCATAAAAAAATATATGTATATCCCCATACACAGTGTCAAATCAAAAGAGCGTTTATCATCAAAATATATGAAATATCAGCAAACCAATATATATTGACCAAAACGTAACCTTGCGATATCAGATAATATTTTAGTCCAAATATCATCCATATCTTGGGCCACTGCTTTCCAGTTTCCTCTATGCAGCTCTGCAGCATCTTTGTTAATACGACCAATCCATCGACTTTTGAGCATCTCACATGGCCTTATCCCAGATTAATAATTAATTACTAACCCACTTTCAAATAGATTTAAGAAATATTATGAAATAGGTACATATATTACAGTTCTATTAGGAACTGTACATCTAACTTAAAATACAAAACGGAATTCAAAACAGTACTTTCGAATTCACAAGTAGTCGAAAAAAGTTGTTTTTCAAACGTAAAATCTAGTAAAATATAATAAAAAAAAAACTATTCTTGAAAAATTGTGGACTAATTGATGGACTAATGTAAAGGTATAGAAAAATTGACCTACGCAAACAAAATTCACATTTTAAGTAACATCTAAAATCCTCAGAAAATTTACAGCGTTTGTTTTATTTTATTTTTTTACCCACGCACATAACGGCTATTGTATACAGTTTTCTTATTAGATAGACACACAATGCTGGCGAACATAGTGCTAAACTTGAAATAAAAATCATTGCAATCATTAACCTATTTTAATAAAAAAGAAATTCTGATGAATGGAAACACCATTCAGCATGCATGAATTAATTAATGAATCATAATATTTATTTTGATTTACTATTAAAAATCTTCGTTAGCTCAAAATTTAAACAAAAATCTTATAAGAGTCCTCTTATCACTGTCCTAATAAAATAACCAATACGTCGTAGTAACTGGAAAAGAAACAATAGAACAATGCTATTGTCGAGTTCTCTAATTCTTCGAACACCAGTAACATCCTGGAGGAAGAAAGCACGCACTTGAAGAAAGACGTCCATGTTGCTGGAACGATGATAAAGACAGCATAGCTTCACTGAGCTTTAAGGATGTCAAAGAATAAATTAATATATTTAAAAACTACTTAAGGCTTTTACATTAGATAGCATAATTACGTTTCTCAAAGGTCCAACGGGAAAATACTAATAAAAATCCTTTTTTAACAAAATAAGCTAATTAACTTGTAGGAACTTTTTATGAAATTATTAACATCCGTCAATGCCCTTTACGGACACTTTGCAACACACGGACACTTTGCCAAATCACACAGAGACAGAATTTTTGGAATTCACAATGGACAGACGATTAACCTGGAAATCACACGTGATTAACCAACAATGATTGAACCAACAAATGTCACTATTTAGACGAATGCTACATCATAAAAATAAATTATCACTTTCTAACAAAATTACTATTTACAACAATAAACCCATATGGATGTATGCCAATCAGATGTGGGATTCATACAAAAAATCACGCTATTCAAATCTTTCAATCTAAAGTTCTCCGATATATCACACATTGTCTTCCTAAAGACCGACAAATACCACATGTGACTGACGTAATTAAGAAATATTACAAACATTTTCATGACTCCTTAGCTGGAAATCCTAATCCGCATTACTAAAAGACTAACTACCACAGAATCAGGCAAGGAGACTTGAACGTCTCTGGAGCAGGGATCTCCTAAATTAAGAATAGGAGTGCTTTCCATGAGAAATATTTCCATTCACGCTAATCCCGGAGAGGAAGTTTACATTTACAATATATGCTAAAATGCATTTATAATTTTTTCAATAAATAAATTTATTATTATTATATTAACATCCGTCAAAAATGGCTTCATCTTATCATAACGTACAACTTTTTTTTCTTCGAAAATTCTTTAAAATGGGGAGTTGAGGTGTTAAAAATTTATGAGAACCCATTTTCTTTCGACTTGTATGTTAAGGATGAAGTTCACGCCAAATGGCCTAATATTTTTGTAGGCCACCTTTTGCCTCGATTTTTAAATGACATTATTTTAAGGGGCATGTTCTATTGGCTGATTGGAAAAAGGTTTCTTTGTAAAATTTCTGCCCGGACGCCTACAAACCACGGTAAGGTCATTAAGGAGTAGCATTACAATTGAAACGAATCACCTTTATATTACGAGATGTGAAGATAATTCCTTAGGATTGGAATCTTATAAAATATGGATGCATCTGCAAGAAATTGAGGAGTTTAACAGTCAAGAAACCGAAGCTTCGCGTGTCACTTAATCAGCTATTAGAACAAAACTGACAACAGAGCGAGTTGAAACAATAATCGGCGAATCGAGAAAGAGCCGTTCACTCTTCACGTCCGAGCTTCGCAGTTTCGCTGTCGGTGAAATCGATCGGATAATCGTGGCTGTCAGTCGTTGAGCAACGGCGTATAGATGTTTGCCTTGCTCAACAGAGTGATGGAACATCGCTGGAAGTGGAGATGGACAATCGCATGCCACTCCACTAAGCGATGCCACGAACCTCGTTACTGGAGGATCTTCGTGCCAGCTTAACTTCTTTCTCGTGTTATTAAACTTTTAAATTGTCAAGTTACTCAAAATTATAATAAACTCGAGAATGAGAAAATGAAGGTCACTTTAGTCATGTATTTCTAAGCTAATTATTTGTTACCAAATATTTCCTGAGATTTTCTTCTATTCACCCCTATAGAATAAGTGAAAACCAACAAGGACAAGTCCTAAAAACTCACAATATTAAAAACGGCTATTACAATCACTAAAATAATAGTTTTGTGAAATAGTATCTTAATTTCTACTTAGATTAAGTAATGTAAAAGCGTGTAACAAAAATGATGTCCGAAGTTTAAGGCAGCTATCATATAATTAAAATAAAACAGAAGAATGATAACTTCGTTTGGTCTATGGCCCCATTCCGGCAGTCACCGTTGTTGTTTAATAAGAAAGGAAAGCTAAATAACTGTGTAGTAAGTAGCTGAATAAAGTCTAGTATCACTGCCTTAAGTTTCGAACTTCATTTGCGCAACATTTTGTATATAATTGTACAAAATAAGTTTCAACTCACATATTAATGAAAACTCAATTATGACGACAATGATATCCAGTCAATAAACATACCTGCAAAAAAAAAAATAGATAGTAATAAATAAATTAGTATTATTATAAACTATTAAGCCTAATTACTTAAATAAATAAGAAAAAATACCATTAAATCGCTGGTTAAATATATAAGCATAAAACTAAAACCAAAACAATGAAAAATTCTAGGAACATTTAAGCCTATTTCATCTTTTCGAAATTGTAGGCCTCATATTTTTATATTTAATTTACAGGCATAACTATATTTATGCCAATATTTTTATATACAATGTCATTTTATATTACATATATACATAGGCTAATATATTCACGTATACTATGTAACTATATTTCTGTATAATTAGGGACAGTTGAGTGTTAGCTGTGTTGTACTGAATTCCTCCATTACATCAAACATTAAAAAAATGACTTACTCCATGTTTGGTCTTAATAGAAAATTTTCAGCTTTAAAAATACAAGTAACTAAATATTACCATAGAGCGATTAAAATTACCAACCCAAAAACGATAATAATCGTGCGGAATACATTTTTTGAACCAAAAGAGAGTATTCTACGATTTGTACAAACCAATTATTTTTTTACTGAACCTCATGCGAATAAAACTGATCATCATCCAAGTCACGGGCGGATCTACGGGGGGAGGGGAGAGGAGCATTCGGGATGAAGCCACCTCCCCCCCCCCAAATGGAAAAATTTTGGGGATTTTTTATGGGAATTTTTTTTTTTTTTTTTTTAAAATACCTCTTAAAGTATTACTGGGCTGGGTAGCCGAATGGGCTAAAGCGTGTGCACTGCACCGCCGTTGCCTGGCAACCTGACATATGAATTAAAGATATAAAAATAGTCACGAGTTCGCGTCCCGGTGCGGGGGGTCTTTTAAATCCCCGCCCACACTCCCTGGCCCGGGAAAATCCCGTATAGCCTTAACGGCGAGGAAGGGAAGGACCAAAAAAAAAAAAAAAAAAAACCTCTTAAAGTATTATTGTTCGTGTAATTACATTTAAAATGACTTAAGGAATCACTTAAACACCATTTCATATAGGTAATTAGTTTCTTTCTGTTTTTCCAAAGTAATTATCGTTATTTTTATGAAAAAAAAAGGTTTCGGGCTGAAGCCCCCCCCCAAAATTAAATCCTGGATCCGTTAGTGATCCAAGTCATAAGTTATTTAAATATAGTAGAATGCTTCAAAACCACTTGGTAGTCTCATGCCTACCATGTTTACATCAGTGCAACAAAAAGTAAGTATAAACAATCAAATTTTTAAATAAATGTATTTATGAGAATAAACTGAACTTAATTTCAAGTAAAAACGTTCATTTGAATTAAATCAAATTGATGTTTATGACGATTAGACGGTTTCTGTTTGACAAATAATTCACAATCTAGAAAAACTAAGGTAGGTTTTGATGTTTTTGGAAATGTATGCTTTCTGACAATTTTTACATTAATATTGACAGGGAAAACCATAAGCATTGTTGGAAAAAAACAGAAGTTTATTATGGTAAGTCGCAGATTCACATTTTTTTTTTTTTTTTTTTTATCAAGTTGGTCACACAGCTCAAACTGATAACTTGTCTAATCTCTACAGCACTGATTTCAGTTCGTTTATTTTTATCAATTTTTAATTAATGAAAGAAAAAAAATCGTCTGCTCAATTATTCTGCAGTGAATCGTTAATACTTTCACAAATATTGCACTAGATAGTGTTATGGGAGTATTCGAAGACGGATCGTTCTCTGATGGTGAAATGTTATTGCACTCCAAGAGAATTATCATGGAGGTATCCGTTCTTGTGGGAAGAACGGTCAGCCAGTTCGGTCAACATTAGCCGAAGAAGGACCGCAAGGTATCATCGAGGAATCCGCGGGTCATGGGTGAACCGTTTTCGGCATGCTAAGTTGTTTATAATGAGCCTCTTACGTTGCTCCTCCAAATGCCATTCTATTTTCAGCCGACAAAGATACTAACATACTCTCTATATTATTATACATTTTTATCCCTGAATTCATCATATGTCGAATTAAGAAATCATTGCCTACAGAGTTAACTATAACGGATTCAGCAACAATTTCAGCCTTGGTCTAGACGAAGTTATTATTTTCCTTCAAACCAGTAGTCATTGATTTATGATTAGACAGTTCTAAAAAACGTTATAGCCTCTAAACAAATTTGAGGCCTGTAACTGAATTAGGAATTGAAACTAGAAGATTCATAAGCACACCCTCTGTCAGGGCTAGAAATAAAAATTTAACATTTATTTTCAAACAGTTTCGATATGGCTGGAAATCTTATTTTTGATAGTTTCAAAAATAAGATTCCCTTGGAAATTTTTTCAATAAAGGTAAAAATTCCTCTGGAATTCCATCCCTGCTGATATTCGACAAGCACAATCAGTTTCCTCTTTCAAACATCTCCTCTTTAAACACCTACTCCTTTCTCAATCCTACTGATTACGAAATATACCTAAGAGAAATATCTAAGTACCCTCCCCCCCCCAGAGACTACCTCAATTTATTTAGGTTATTTAAGTTTCTCATAAATATGTACAATTTTCTTGTTCTTTTCTTTCTCTTCTTCAGTATTTTCATTTTTAATCATCTCTCATTGTAAATATTTAATTGTGACTACACAGACATACAATCTGTACTTATAATTTGTTCTAAAGGGACAATATTTCCAGAATAATAAAATATTTCTTCATTTCATTTCCTCACCAAATATTGGCTAATGTACATTTCCAAGATAAATTCTAAATGGACAAAAATTTGACTTATTTATGAATATATATTTTTTTCATATTTGAAATTACTGAGGCATATAACATATTTAAGCCACAAATTTCTTCATAAAATTCATTATAAAACTTGTTTTTTTTCTGATTTTCGGAAAAACATTACTTTCTAAGACTGAATGGTTATAATGATACAAATATTTCAGAAGCACCAGACCAGATGTTATTCCACCGTGAACTTGAGTGTTGTTATCTCTACACCGACCCTCTTATCTTCCCAGCTGACGTGTGTTCTCGGTAATTATTTCAGTTTACCTCTCTTCGGGAAAACAAAACGTTGAACAATACCGATTCCGTTGAAATACGTGTTTAAGAGTAATAAGACCATAATTCCTTACATAACGTTTATAAATATTTGCACTGAGAGACACGGAGTCGCAGAAAACTATTCCGCAGCAAATGTTAAATTTAGAATTTCATCCCATTTATCTTTCTTCTAACGGAGGATTTGAGGAATCAAAATGCAAATTTATTGTTGTCAAGAGGACTTATGAATCTAAATATATAAATTATAATCAGTCAAAATATAATTTAAAAAGATAATAACTAGAGATTTTTCCAAATTATAAATATCAATGTAAATAGGAATTATAAATCAACGTTATCTTCATGAAAAACAATTCCGTCCAATATATTGATCTATTACCTTAAAAAATATTCAGGTTATCATCAGATTTGTATGAAATATTTTATATTTAAAAATAGAACTACCAAAGAACTCTTTAAACTTTAAAGTCAATATAATTAATATTAATATGATTGATTAATTAACTACTGGAGAAGCCACTTGCTCAATAGTTGGCTTTATTAAGAAATAACCAAAGTTTTTTATTTTTTTGTGACTTGAAATTTGGTTAATTTTGTTAATCAGTGTTTTACATTATTAAGTGTTAAACTTTATTTTAAAACTATTTAAAGTATCATTATAAATTCGTATGAATAAAGGCTTTATTTATCTATCAATATAATTAAAAGTAGACCAAATGGAAGAAAATCGATTACCAAAAATATGTTTACAAATTTAAAAAACCTTCCCTCATACCAGACTGAAACGACAAGAAACCGCTCGACGTTTCCAATTACTTCAGCACTTACTAGAAAAACGGTATAAACTTTCAATTAATTACAAAAGACTCATATACATGACTAAAATAAGGCCTATTTGGATTTATTGAGTTGACCTATGGGTTTCACTGAACCATCGAATTCCTCTCGTATCCAATCCTTACAATCCAAAATCCTTCGTTAAATCCTCACTTCTCTCTACTTTGTTACAAATAAAACCATCCATAATGACCTTAATGTTTCTTTTGTTTCAGATCTGTCCCAATCTATCCTTCCATAATAAACTTCAGAATCATTCCAATCATCTCGTTTCTAACCTTGCTTCCACTTCAATTCCTGATAACCCTCCGAGGCATCTGAAAAGAAGATGGCCACGTGAATTCCTAATGTAGACATATAATTAAAGTGCTACCATTGGGTAATTTCTCAACAAGTGTTTTCACGTCATTATATACATATGTTCAAATTTACTAAATGTATTTCTTTAATACAGTTGTAAATGTCATTAAGAAATATTTTAAAAAATCATTCCTCCAATTATTTAATTAATGCAAAGTATAATTAATACAATTGATAAATATGCTGAGAGCAATAGGTTGAATTATTAAACATTAAAAATAAAGAATTATTTGAAGGGAAATGTAAAAATATTATTGAAAAGGTAAAATGTAACAAATTTTCCCTAGATATTCAATGTGTATTGAACTCAAAATTTAATCAAAACTTAAAAAAATTAGTAGCTTCAATACCGGTGAATATTATTCAAAAATTTAGGGACCAATAAGAAAGTATATATTGGTAAGCCAACTAAGATCACTAATCGGAGAACTTAAAAGTTACTTCTTACGGTTTCCAATAATTTTCTAGATAGGAGCACTGAATACCCCATTTCTAATACAAGTGAACCAGAAGACTTTTTTTGTTGATATCATTTTTTGTTGAAATGCCCTAAATATGAAGGTTTTAGAAGTAAGTATTAAAGTAAATATATTTATGGCAATTCCGACGATAAAGAACAAATGGTAAAATTATTACATATAGAAAACAAATATGAACTCGATGATTTATACTGGTACGTCGAAGATTGTTTAAAATTAAGGAATATTTTTATGTTTACTCAAATATGAATAGTTTTATCATTAACTTTAAGGTTAAGATTATATGTAAATAATAATATTATGATTTAACATTATATTTTAGTTTATTCAAGATAATTTGTATAGTTTATAATTGTATTAAACATAATTGTTTTATTTTACTGGTTCTTACTATTAATGTATTTAATTTGATTTCATGTAAATAAACTCGACTCCATTTGTATGGGTCCGCCCAAAAACCAATTCATTTTTTTATTTATTTATTATCAATATAATTGAAAAATAAGTTTTTATTTATAATGTATACATCATTCATACCATGAAAAAATTTAAAATTTAATTAAAACATAAAAGAAATCCACGTATTTCCAATGTAAATTTAGGACTTCACTGATCTCGGTGAAGATACAAATATCTTCATAATTTGAGCATTAAATTCGATGAGATAAATTAAAACTTTCTGTTAAGAAACGATAGAATATGATGGTGAAGAAAAACATGATAACAATAACCAAACACCATTGTCTGCATCTGAATAAAGAGCACGGACCATCTTTCCAAGCATCTTGAAGAAATATGAAATAAAGCTTGAAGAACGGGTCAATGTGGGAAGGCAAGGCATAAATCAGTTATCAGGTATTTATTACTTCTTAACTGTCATTTCTTTAAAAAGGTGTTTGTGATAGAGTTATAAAAATACTAAGTAACCTGAAAGTATTTTGAACATAGACAAAAACAATTGTAAGTGTTTTTATTACTAACAAAAATAATTAACATTTTTCACAATATTTCTCACTTCTTCTTCGGTGCATACTATTTATTTTCAAGTTTATTATCATCAGCCAATTTTACACTAATTTTTGAATTATGTCAACTTAATGACTACACATCTAATTACGACGTTTCGGCACGTTGAGCCATTTTCAAGTCTAAAATCTTTTTACAATTTACAATCATATTTAAACATTACATATTTCAATTCGCATAAGTGAAAAGGACAGGTACATGATGGGTATTTAGGTAAATAAAAATAATCTTTATATTTTGAAATATGTAATATTTAAATAAGATTGTAAATTGTAAAAATTTTTTATACTTGAAAATGCTTCAACGGGCCGAAACGTCGTAATTAGATGTGTATTCATTAAGTTGACATAATTTAAAAATTGACTGATAATAAATAAACTTGAAAATTAATATTTTTCCTTTTCTATAGTAGGATGTATACCTCAATTTATTTTAGGCATTTAAAACTATCATGAAAGGTCTAAGTAATAAATGAAGATTTTAAATCTTTAACATGATTCACAAAAAAATAAATAAATAAAAAGGCTTGAGATAAACCACGGAAATATCGTTGTTCACATTCCCTCCATCATCAATCTAGGGCCCTCATCGATGGTTCAGAGATGGTTTTAAGCAATAGGAAAGGATTATCGTGTTTTAATATAAAAAATTCAAATACTTTGTTTATATCCAGGTAAAAGTAAAAGTAAGATCGAAAGCAGCCAAATGGCCCCAGATTTAGGTGTGCGGCTGCGGATCAAGACATGTACCTCGAGGAGCACAACGAAGACATCCCGTGACGAAGTGGATGGCCATTGGAACAGATACCTGATGAAAGCGAAAAGAGTGAGAGCGAACCATTAGAGAGTGATCTTTGCTGCGATTAGTGACACCTTGTTGTTGGCAAGGGCCGCTCAGGTGTGACTACTGCTCTACAGCGCGCTTTATAAGGCAACTCTTGTGGTTTCTTTAAGGCGTCTAATTACCCGCCACATGGCTTAGGCATGAATGGAAGAAAACCTCAAGGTGACACATCTAAGATATTCAATATATGATGTTCATTTCCACAATACATTCACGCTTTAATAATAATAAAAAAAAAAGACTACAGAAATCGGGAAAACTTCTGTCCATCTTAAGAGAATGTACCAGCACATCTACTTAAACACTCTGGTGGATTTTTGGGGAATTTGACATCTACGAATATTTAAACCTGGCTAAGTAGTTGGGTCAATAATGAATCAGTCGTTCAAACTTCAATCCAACGAAACTCAAGACACTTTCGGATATTGACATTCACCGATACATGGAATTTAATCTAGTTGCTAGGAGCCATAATCTATAGGGAAAGGCATCAGACTACTGCACCAAGCTTAAATATTTGTTGGTGTTAATTTCTCTAACAATCTATCAAGGTGTTTAAATAGATATGCAAGAATATTCCTTTGGGATGGATAGGATTTTCCGGCTTCAATAGTAGATTGTTCATATCATAATTTGACAGAGTTTTTGTAGCCAAAATTGTTTCATAACACTAGCGAGATTTCATCTAAGAACTAGAGGATTCAAACTTAAAAATCTTTCCAACCGTTAATTTGAATAATCATTACATTCCACTAAGTGGAGAACCAAACACACGACACTTCTTTGTAAAAACTCCGACATAGTTTTCGCCAAACTGCTTTGCCAGGTAATTTCAAAAAAAAAAATTTGTATTTCTGGAAAATTACAAAATAAGCAATGAAATTCTAGCTAACCATTCACTTAATAACGCCTTATTAGGAATAAAAAAATCAGAAAGGATAAATGCAAACCACATAAGATAACCTCAATTCAACAGCATAAAACATACTAAAATAATAATTTGTAATTACAAATTAATTGAATATACATTAAATACAATAATCAAATTTTAAAAAATAAAATAAATACAAACACCGACAACATAAATAAACAACACCTATAGAGACGGAATGTACTTCCAAGTTTACTTATGTATGATCTTTTATCCTCGTGAAGTTGATATCAAAGTATATTGAAATTTGGTATCGAAGTCGGGAAATACACGAACGAAATTGGAGACTCGTCAGAAGATACATTGATTTCTGGGTTTAATATTCTCACTACGTTTTAATATTCTCAAACGTAAATTTCACACCTATTTCAAAATATACTCATGGGATTAAGTTGATGTGCAATGTACAACCAATAATTTATTTTCTCTCTTTTAAATAAAAAAATAATCGACTACATTTCTGAATTATTACATTATTTCAAATTAAACACAACAATTTTAGTACAAGAAAAACAAACTTAATTTGATAAAATATTATTTTTATGCTTGCTTTACAACCCCCATACCCAAGAAATCTTATCTGTTCCAAACATTTTTAAATTATGCATTTATTCTCCAGCTTGTTGTGTTTAATACTGTCATAATTATCTTTATTTTTGTCTGTATTTAGATATTTTAAATCGGCCTCTTGTCAAGGAAACTAAAATGTCTTCATAATACTGAAGAATCGCTAAAGTTGTCTAGAACAATTAGTTTGAGCAACGTGTTTTGCCAGAACGCCTTCTTGAGTTTTGATGACGTTGACGGATTATTTTCTATTAATGATTAATCAGTTTTTCGGTCTTATTGTAAGGTAACTATAGTGAAAAAAAATAAAATAATTAGCCATATGAAAAATAAAATAAGGGTTTTATAGACACAGAATAGTGCTCCAGCGGAGTAATACTAAAAATAAGTAAATAAATGACAATAGAACATACCTATTTAAGAAACTAATTGACAGAAAGTTCGTGAATAGGTTCTAATTCGAACCTATAAAAAATCGCATTATCTTTTACCGGACCACTTCACTAGATAATTTGTCTGAGCCCGAACTGATTGCAGAATCTGATATTAAAAATATTTGTTAAGGTTCTTCTTTTTTTTTTATTAATCTATATTTAGGTGTTCCTAAACAACAACACTTAAGACCAGTCCAACATACCATACTGCATACATTGATTTCAACAAATTAAGTTCCCTTAAAAGTTTTCTACACAGCATATGTTGCAACGGAGATTGTTATCAAAGGAGTTTTATCTATCTGAACACCATCGCACGATAATATAATACATTAACACCATTCAAGGTGAGTTAATATCGGTGATATAACAAACTTCATTAAAGGCTTTGCTGTGGATCATGTTCGGCTTATAAAGATAATGAGTAGATCAGTATAGTGCACAAAAAATAGTCACAGAAATTTTTAACAGATTTTACCTAAACATGTACATTACGTTAAGTTAGTCACGATACAACGTATTCAAGATCAGGAGTAACCTAAAAATTTCTGATGTTCTGTAAAAAAAAATAGTTTGATCAACATAAAAAAGGAATAGGATAATTAAATGACTATTCCCATAAAACACAATAATGAAATGTAGTCAAATATTATGATTTTTCTATCATTCATTGGGTGTTTCTCTTTTCCTTATTTTATTTTTTATTTTAAACTGTAATTACCACTTACTCGTTATGCATTAAATCTTATTCCTAAGTCTATGTTCTCTTTATTTTTAGGAGTTAAAACGCCTGTATCCTATCCTAGACTAAACAAATTATCCCAGATCACCAATTTGGATTCCGCACATCCCACTCCACTATACAGCAATGCCATCGTGTGGTAGATGTAGTCTCCTCTGCATTGGAGCGCGGAATGTACTGCACGGGAGTCTTTCTCGACGTTGAACAGGCGTTTGATAGAGTCTGGCATCCCGGACTGATGTACAAACTCCGTAAATTCCTACCACCTACATACTTCCTCATTATCCGTTCCTACCTTACTGACAGATTCTTCAAAGTCAATCATAACAATGCTTTTTCATCTCTTTTTTCTCAGTTTGCTGGTGTTCCTCAAGGTAGTATCCTACTTCCTATCCTTTATACAGTTTATACAGCTGACATCCCAACCCATTCCAACACTGTCATCACCACATATGCCGATGACACATGTATCCTATCAGTCAATAACGATCCATCTATTGCATCCCAAACTCTTCAATCACACATCACAAGTCTTGAAAAATGGTGTCAAAACTGGAGGATTAAAATAAACTCCAATAAATCCCATCAAATTACCTTTACTCTTGGACTTCCTGTCCTACAGTATCCTTTAATAACACCCCACTTATCCCTGTTGACCAAATCCGATACCTAGGACTCCACCTTGATAAACGACTCACTTGGAACCCCCATACCAGAATGAGACGACTAGAAACCGCCCGACGTTTCCGACTACTCCAGCACTTACTAGACAAACGCTCTAAACTGCCAACTATTTACAAAAGACTCATATATATTACAATAATAAGGCCTATTTGGACTTACGGGATCGAGCTTTGGGCTCTACTAAACCATCAAATTCCTCTCGTATCCAATCCCTACAATCCAAAATCCTTCGTAAAATCCTTAATGCTCCCTACTTTGTCACAAATAAAATCATCCATAATGACCTTAATGTACCATATGTTTCCGATTTAGCCCAATCTAGATACCTATCCTTGCATAACAAACTCCAGAACCATCCGAACCCTCTCGTTTCAAACCTTGCTTCTTCCTCGATCCCTGATAACTCTCCGAGGCGTCTACAAAGAAGATGGCCTCGGGACCTTCTAATATAGAAATATAATTGGAGTGCTACCAATGGGTAGTTTCTCCTCATGTTGTACATGTCATATTACTTGTTCATATTTACTTGTTGTATTATTATTAATTACAGTTGTGAATTTCGTTAATAAAAAAAAAGAAAAAAATTTTTAGGAGTCTTACAAATGTATTGTATCGTTACACTTTTAAAGTGTCTTTTTATTATTACTTACAGTTTGTTCTTTATTTGCAAATTAATTTAATTTATTTTTCAATAATGTACCAAAATTATATTTTAATAAATCTACTTATTATTACTCACTTTTTCCTATCAATTTATGAATATTTAATTTACAATTAGTTTTAAAACCTTTGTCCCTACTTCTTCCCATTCTATTACTTTACTTATATATATATATATAATAAGATGCAATAGAGCTGCATGTATATAACCGGAAATAAATAGTCGAAGATAGACAGAGATGAACAATGCTGGCTAAGGTTAGGCGGCAAAAGACCAACAGATAAATATACACAAAACTTCTTATATTTGTATTTATTTACTTTTGTAAGGCAGTAATTTTTTTTTTGTCATTTCATCCATCTGGATTTTTTTTTTTTTTTTAACTCCTATTATTGTATATGATATTACCATTCATTTTCCGATTTTAATCATATTTTTTTAGCCGGAACGTTGGTTATCATAATGAAGTAAAAGTAAGTAAAATCTAATAAGCGATCAGTAACATAATTATAGACAGAAAGCGCTTAAAGCAGGAGTAGGATCCCTTCGAATGTCGCATACCCTGCGGCATATCTGGCTCCCAAGAAACGCTCATATATAGCTCTTCTCTTCTTAAAAACAGTGCAGTTAAAAACAGAATTATAAAAAGTTAATTCATTTAGAATTTTACTTTCTGCGGCCTGATTCATATTTTTATTTCGCCCCCCCCCCCTTGTTTGAAACTTGAAACTCCCAAAATGTATGGCTCGATCCAAAAATTCACACTTCTATAATGTTGTGCTCCTCTCAAACATTACCCTATTTGCGCTGGGTCACCTTCTTGTGTGGATCTCTGGATCAACATACTAGTCGCTATCTAGCTACCTGTTCTAGCAGACAACATGCTTCTTCGTCTATGTTGATGGGTCATTAAACAGGACATAGCACTACCAATTAGCTCCTAGCAGGAACATACTGACCAATTAGGAGGTCTCTAGCAGC